AGCGGGAAGGAGCGGGAATGCATCGGCGAGTCGCCGTATGCAGAACGACGCGTCTTCTACCTGCTGGACGGCGCGATCGTATCCAAACTTCTGAGTTCATCATCTCGAGCATAATCGACTGCTTAAACGAGAACAGTATTTCAAAACCGTTAGTCGTCCCTAGTATTCGTGGATAGCGTTGTTCCCGCGACGCTCCCCGCTTGCCGCTCAATAGCCGCTGTCCCAGTTGCAGAAAGGTCCCGAGCCACATCCACCATGATTAAGGGTTTTAACAAGGACCCAACCTCGAGCGACAAATCCGGTCGCCACAAAGACAATAGGCCCAGCTGTTCAGGAACCCGTAAGTCCAGAGTTCAGAAGAAATCCTTTCAAACTAATTTCCAACGTAAATTTAACGAATGAGTAAAAAATTTCAAAAAGGGCCAAAAGGGCCATACAGGTCTAGTCACAACAGTCACTCACGTCATGAAATAAGCGAAATTGTCATATCCGAGAAAAGAGTCAATAAAAAACCCTTCAAAACAGGATATTAAGGGTCCCAATCCGCACAGAAAAGCGTCCATAAAATTCGCAAGGCGATTCCGCACCGAATCCAAGAAAAAACCCGAAAAAGGGCCTCAAAGGGTTCGAAAGGCCAAGTCCCCAAAAATGTCAGAATGAAGGGAAGACCCATCAGAGACAGAATCAGAAAGTCCCGATTCTCTATGACTCTCCGTCATGCCGTAATTAAAGGTCAAAATTTTCCCTTCACTTTCCAACACCAACTCTCCAGGCCCTTCCGAGACTCTAAGTCAAGGACTGGGAGCCCTACGATCATCCGTTTATCCACAACAGTGTCTCAAAGTTAGGTAAATGCATAAAAATGCATAAAAACGCATTTAATATATGTATATACGCATAACTGAACAACACATAATAACCGCACTTAAAAATAACACATATCGATATTATTACTAACTAATTATGTCCTAATATTTCATAAAGAATATACAGTCCGAAATATATAGAAATATCACTATAAATTTGCATCACATGAGGACGTGCAGTGCACCGTCTATATAACTAATTTAACAATGTCAAGAGTCTCTAACGAAACTGCAGTGTACCGTCTATACAGGGTTGGCAAAAAGTCCGGAAACGGTCAAATATCTCGAAAAGGATAAACTGTAGCGAAAAATATGTAAGTAGCCAAGTTGTAGGACTTAATAAAATGTACCTAATAATGGTTAAAAATTTGATTTTTGGTGGAGGACGAAGGTCATACGAAAGTCAAATTAAATTTTTTTAATTGAACCTTCCACTTTTTATTACATATTCTTGTAGCTTATTTCAAGGGCTTTCCAAAAACCTATAATAAAGTATTTTTTTATTAGGCATATTTAGAGTTATGAGGCTTAAAAGGATTTTGGTCTTTCTGTTTCTGTTTCTGTTTCGTAAAAACGTATTACTGTCTTCTGAACAGTGGATTAAGAAATAAAATTGCGATCAGGATATGCAGCATTGAATGTGTAGATCAGTTACTTCTTCGTATGATCTAATATGGTCTCCAAATTTTCGATAAAGAAACAGCATTATCTTTTCTTTATCGGTTAACATTTTTAAAAAAGAAATTTGAAATTGTAGTTGGAAAAAGAAAGGGGAAAGACAAAGAGTAAGATGCGAGAGAGTACGACTCGTTTTTAAAATATAAAGATCGAGAAGCGTTATCGTGAAGCGCGGATATGCGCGAGTTTTGACTGAGTACGTCTATACTACTATGTGATATTACGTCGTGAATGAATAACCGCGTTCGATGCGAATGAACAACTAGGCTGGGAGCCTAAAAAACATAAACACAGGAGAAAAACAAGAATAACTTTGTTTTTCGTGTCTCGAGCTAGATGATATGACCGGCTTAGTTATTCATTCGCTCGCATTGAACGCGGTTATTCATTCACGACGTAATACTACTGTGTCCAAAAAGTAAGACCAGTTTTTATTTATTTCAAAAAATATTTATTTATTCTTCCAAATCTATTTCGTCGCCTTCAAAGTAATCCCCTCCCGACACAATACACTTAT